AATGCTGTTCTGTTGGTTCGTAGGCCGGTCGGCGGTATTGGCATTCCAACCTCGACGCTTTCGTGCGTCCGAGGAGCCAACGTTGTAAGGCGAAACTCGGTGCGGATCCTTGCCTGGCATCCTCCTTGCATCGTGCTTTTTCTTCTAGCACGGTTCGTAAGTCGGATGACCTGGGTAGCTCGGTTTGTCTGGATCTGGTTTGGTGTGAATGTGAAGGCCAATACGTGCTTCCTTCAGTGTATGATCTTTCGGATCTCGTCCTCTCAGACCTGGAGTGACGAGTCCTTGAATGTAAGTGGCAGTGAGGCTCGTGCTCTTGTCTTCGGAGGGTGTAGTATTTACTAACTACTCTTGAGTGGCGAGGGGGCGTCTTGTGCTTGCGCCCTCTTCGCTATGTCCACATTCTTCTGGTCTTCATGCTGGCGTTTTAAAGCCTCATGTCCGCGCATCCTTCGAATTAGTCATCCTGTTCCTTCACGCGATCTTAGGGCTTGAGGATCCACCTCTCTCTTTGCCTGTCAGGACTCTTAGAATGTGAGGGCTGCTATTCCGCCTTCCCTGCACTCCTCTGGAGTTTATGTTGTTTGGGGCTCCAGATCTGCCATAGGAGGGATAGAGGGTAATCTTCGCGCCTTGCGCCCCCTCTAGAGTTAGTCCGTCGACGGCGGACTGCGGAATCTTCAATGTGTGCCATTGAATTGAGAAAAGGAGAAGCTTAGTCAAGAGGTTTTTGTTCTTGTCTGTTTTCCCACAGACGGCGCAATTGTACGGGGAGGAATAATTCTCCTCGTATAATCCTGTTGACAAGTCACGCTCTCTCGTACGACGTCGCTTTGTCACCTGAAAACACAAACGTGAGCTAGCGCGGGTGTGTGCCGGAAACCTCTCCGATGCCTAAGTCAGAAAACTTGACAAATAGACAAAGCTCTAAGTTTCAGAAAGATTGTGTTCAATTACCTCTCAAGGTGATGCTTGTAGGCTTTTAATAAGTATTCGTTGTTGATCATTTTATTTTGGGAGATTTCCCGTGGCACAATCCTGGTAGGACTTGTATTTCTCCATGCAGAGTCCTTCTAGGATTCATACTCCAAAGGATAATGCTTATCCTTTTACACCCTCCCCCACTGCTTAAACCAAGTGGGATGGTTTTCTCCATGGCCGAACTACCACATGACCGAAATAACACTGGCTATGCTGAGCCACATAGAAGGCCGAACTATCCTTAGCTCGGTCTTCTCTACTAACTCATTACTTCGGCTGCCCTTGTTCAACCTTGGTGCGTTTAGATCAAACTTCCAAGTAGCAAGTTCTGACTGACCTAGCCAGAGTATGTCATGACCGGACTAACTCCGAAGCCGGTCTTCCCAGAACATATTGCGACCGGACTAACTCTGCGACCGGCCTAACTCCGAGTTGCCTCTGGACCGGAGTAGCTTTACTCCTCCTTGGGCCGAAGCAACTATCTTTTCTTGAGCCGGAATACACTCACCTCCTTGGGCCGAAGTAACATTGTCTCCCCAAGGCCGGAGTAACCTTGCCTTCTAGGCCGGAGTATTCAGTTCGGCCCAATTTTTCCCAAAAATTACCCTCTCAGTTTACAAGAAGTGTTAGAGACCCATAATTTTTTGTTAACAAATTTACTCACAATAATATGGTAAAGGAGTTGGACCTATGCCTAAGCCCTAGCTTGCAATGCAGAGAAGATCACATGGGAGAAGGAAGATTCACGAGAACAAGAGACCCAATGTTGTAGGGGGTCCTTTTCAGAAGTGGGAACTTTCCTTGTAGCCATGGCAGCGTGAAAATTGAGGCTTTTGAAATTTTGAATGGAATGAAAAGAAGCAGTGGTAGAGAAAGGAGAGGAGAAATTGAAAGGAAGTTGCAAAGCATTGGTGATATAGCTTCTCTAGGAAGTCTTGGCGGCAGGTCTTGGTGGCAAGGGTTTAAAATTCAAAAAGGGAGACAGCTGTCTGTTGAATATTGGCTACAGATTCTGGCCATGTGATGGAAAGTGGCAGCCAGCTACATAGTGGGGAAGCCATGAGACCATGTGAGTTGGCCATGAGGCCATGAGAAGCCATGTGAAGCATCAATCTGGAAAGCCACCGAAAGCACAATAATGGGCTGGCAGCCAGCTCATTTCAAAGACTTTCTCTTGCATTTGTAATCTCTATATATAGAGAAGCTAAGGAGAGTTGAGAGGTACAGCTGAGATAACAGAGAAGTGTGAGCTTAGAGAGCAAAGAGAGAGAGAGAATTACAGAGAGTGTTGTAATTTTTACCATTTTGTTCAATATAGTGAATCCGCTGCCTGTGGACGTAGGCGACTTGCCGAACCTCGTTAAATCTTGTGTGTTATTGCTTGTTTGAGTTCCCTGGTGTGCCCCCGATCCGCAACACTGTCAACTTCCTAGCAGCGGTTGTGATAGAATGGGCAGCGACACTGTAAGGATGAATGTCAAACATCTTTTGATGCCTATCGTTTCAAAGATAGGTATTAAAGCAAGAAGATGGAAGGGAAATCTAATCTTCATTCAAATATATGCTTAATATCTAAACGATACACTTGAGGGGGGCATTTTTTGTACCCTTTTTGGCAGAATGCCATGTGGCAAGAAGGATGACATGGCACTGCTCTAGCAGGTCGGGTGTCGGGGTAAGAATGGCCTTAGGATGACATGGCACTACTCTTGTAGGTCGGGTGCCGAGGCAAGAATGGCCTAGAATCTAGGTGGCAGTAGTTGACTTGATATTTATGTTTTATTAAATATAAATAATATGTATGGATAAAAAAGGACCTTAACCGTTTCTTATGAAGTACGAAGTAGTTGAGGCCCACCTCTTAAGAAGAAGGAAGTGGTTGAAGTAACTCCCCAAGTGTGGACGGTTAAAGCCATGTTTGGGAGAAATAGTGCACATGTTGAAAATCAAAACGATCAAGTGGGCCATGAAAGCTTTAAAGTCAGGAGATCCAATCGTTGGTCAAAGTGGTTGCCAGATTTGGGGCTCAATCCAGAGATCAGAGGGACAAGTGGCAGAAACTGGTGCTGTCACGTACTTGCAATTAGAACAAAAATAAGAGGCCAATTAGCACTATAAAAGGACTCCAAGCACACCATTTGCAAGGGTCGAGAACCAAAACTCAATCAAGAGCTCATTTACACATTTTTTTTTAGCTAGTGTCTTTTATTTAAATAACTCAATTCCTGTAGGTAGTTGTTTACATAGGTTAGCCTTAGTTTGCTTAGCCGAATTGTACTTCATTCCAATTAATGAAAGTTCAATACTAGTTTCTTTGCACCTAGTAAATTTGTTCATTGAGACAAAATCCGAACTATTTGTTGTTCGTCTTAGTCACACAGTCAAGTCTTGTTGAAGTTAGAAATTCCAAACCACAATTCCAACTTTGGACCAAGTTCATCAACTTTGGAACACTCGCATTTACAACACATTAGCCTACATGTTCGCCCTTAGTTTTTGAGATGCAAATAGATCCTTATAATTTCTTTTAAATTTTATTTTGGTCTCTCTAATTGTACGCGTGATATTTTTTTATTTAAAATGTTAACGACACATAATGAAAAAATCACATTATAACAAACGAAAGTGCAAGAATCAAATTATTCAAATAAAAATAAAAACAAAATTGACATTTCGCTTAATCTATAGAAACTTATGGTGTAATTTACCTATTAGTTAAAAGTAGAATATTATTGAAAAAAAAAATTGTGTTTGAGAAGATAGGTTTTTTTGTGATTGGATGTGATGTATGTAAGAGAAAAAATAAAATAATTATAAAATTTGATGTGATATTTTGTTTGAATTGATTTTTTTTAATTTTGTAAAACATTTGTCTTGTAGTAAAAAAAATCAAAAAAAAACCTAAAAACTAAATTGCCAAACACTGCCAATATTCTTTCTCTTTATCATTGTTGTTGATGTGACAATTCATAAACTAAGCAATATTTAGATGAATAACTAAAATAAAAAAGAGAGTTAGTAAAAACATGAAAATAAATAGGCAAAATAAAATATATATATACACATTAATAGTAATTTTTAGATAAGTAAAGTATCTAATAGCATTAGAGATGCTCTTGTACAACGCTCATCTAAAGTTTTATATGACCAATAAATGCGTTTCTACTACTCACATAATTTTCATTTTACAATAAAAAGTAAAAGAAAAGAGTAATAATGGATTTCTATAAATGTAAAAATTAAAATTAAAAAAAATAAAAAATAAAAAATAAAAATAAAAAGCCACATCCAATTCCAAGTTCATAGCCCTTTTTGTTGTTTTCCTGAACATTATCAGAATTCCTTTTACATTTAAGGCTATGTTTAGATATCACATGACACCATAAATTTTAGCAGATGAATTCCACGGAATCAACAATAAATATATTATCTCGAATTTGCCTAGAGGGCAATAAAAACTAAAACACATGTTTATTATTTCGCATTCAAAGAAATACATCACATCCTCGTATTAGGAACTGAAAACAACACGAAAGAGTACGACAAAAAACCAAAAATTCACTACAAGAATTCACACATTTGTCGACTACTTTTTCCGATCAAAAAAAATTTAGTCGCAAAAATATGACATTTGCCGACCAAATATTAATTAGTCGCGAATGATCATTATTTTTGGCGACCAAATATTATTGGTCGCAGAAGGTAATATTTTGGCGACTAAAAAAAGAGTTGGTCACAGAAAGTGGTATGCGTTTGGCTACCAACTACAAATTTGGTCGCGGAATGTGGCATTTTTTTTTGGCGACCAAAAATTTGGTCGCCAAAAACTTATTTTCAGCAACTAAAAAAAATTAGTCGCCAAATTAGCACTTTTAGCGACTAATATTTTAGTCGCCGTTGATTGAGATTTGACAACTAAAAAAAATTGTCGGCGAAGGGTACCCTTTCTACGACTAATCTGGTATTTTGGTCGCCAAAAATTTGTGAGGGAAATTTGAAACGTGGGGCGGGAATTGAAATTTTTTATCTTTAGCAATCTGTTAGCTCACACATTTTCATTTTCTCTTCTCTCATCTCTCTTTGAAATAGGTGCACTGACCAAGGCAGAGAGCAAACACGAAGAAGGTGACTAACATGAAACGAAACAGGAGCAGCGTTGGAGCAGCAGTGGGGTTCGGTGGAGAGATGAAGGAAGTTCGGTAGCAATGCGTGGAGCCGCCTACACTCTACCATTGCTAATCCTCTCGATTTCAGACCTCTTGCATCAGGTAAACACGCTCTCTCTCTCTCTCTCTCTCTCGTTCCCCCAATTTCAAACCCTAACTATAATTTTCAACTTTTCAGATCTTTGCCTCTCAAGAGTTTCTTCACCTTGAATTTGCTAAACCTGTAGTTTTTGCCTCCTGTAATTAATTTGATTGACATGGATTGAAGAAAACCCCTTTTTCTTATACAATTGAAATATGAAAGCCCCAAAAAATATATTTATAAATAAATAAATATATCAGATTACACAACCCTAGCTCTTTGGCTTCCAAGGGTTTTATCAAAATGCACAGAAGTTCTAATGGAGCAAATATGAAGGAGCTCAGTCTCAATCTCTCTCAATCGTCTCATCGAAGAAGGCTATTTACTTGGTACGTTGCTTCCTCCTCTCCTTCCTCTGAATAGTCTCATCGAAGTCTCAATCTTTCTAATTTTTTTTTTCTAAAAACTGAAAGAGTAGAACATTTGAGTGTTCAATTTGTTTTCTTTCGCTCCTAGTTTTTTCTGAGCTAATTAAAACAGTTTTTATAGAACTTCATACCGTTGTAAGAGAAAAATGTCCCCCAAAAATGGTTAGAAATTGAAAAAGTGTAAAAGACTCTACTTTAATGCAATCGTAAGCAATATTCATGTGAACTAGCGATTTCGAACTAGTCTAAACATGTTATAATGCATGAACAAAAACATGAGAAGAACTAAAGCAATAAACATGAATTAAATAAGAAAAACTAGAAGCCTAGAAACTAAACATGGCAAAAAAAATGCGAAAGAAAGAAAGCAAATCAAGTATACATTAAATACATTAACTGGGACCTTTTTCTTTTGTAAATTCCTCGTACTCTGGCCCTTTGGTGTTTAACAGAATGATCTACTGGTCATTTGGGGCTTGTTTGGTGCTGGCCGTTAGTTTTTTCCCAGGTTGATTCTAGATCGTTTTCAAATCAAATTTTGGACTTTTTAGGACTTGAAATCAACTTTGAAAATGTTCAAAACACAGGCATATAATTATAAGTTCAAAAAGAGTTTATGTTGGGCAAAAATCATTTTGAGCCACGAAAGAGGTTCGGATTTTAGCAAAATGTGAAAAAATTAATTTCTAGACCTAAGACGATTCCATATAAAGGCTAGGTTCACAAAATTCTTCATAACTGCTCTTCTATGTCATAGGGAAGCAGCTCAAATAGTTTTTGTATTGGTTAGACAACTCCCATTTTACCAAGGCCAAATCTCTAAAGTGGTGCAACATGAAATGGTTAAAACTGATATGATTTATTTATTAAGGCAACACCGTAGGCAATGGAGTGAAACTGTGTCACAATTTACAAATGTAGGTTGAGCAAGATATACATGTGCCAAAGTTGGGGCATTTATGTGTTTCAGTGAGAGCAATATGTTGGCCTATATAGAATCTATCCACTTAGTGTTGCGATGAGAAATTTTTTAATCCAATGATGCAGATATAAAAAAAACGCATTTTATCTTGCATGTGGCTTACAAGTGGAAGAGCAAATTCCAACTTATTTCATCACTTGATCCCCCAAGATAATGAAGGTTATAAAAAAAAAAATGACGAGCATAGGGTGGATGGTTGGATTTGACATTAGATGCTTGATTTAGGATTTAAAATGCATGTAGTGTGATAAAGCCAACAGGTTCAACTGACAATCTCTCTACATTTTTATTTTTCTTTGATTTAGTTCTTAAGGTGTAAGAAAATTGTGATCAGTTTGACAAATGTAGATTGACAGAGAGACATGTTTCTTAGAGGTGGAAACATTAGGCAAGTTCAGTCCTAGAGCAACATCCTAGCATGTAGAAAACCCAGTCATGTTGTATGAAGGTGTGGGAAAATACTGAATCCAAATGAAGGGACAAGCCACGTGGCATATCCTCGTCATATCCCTATGTCCAACACTGCAACAATGCCTATTTCATAGTGTCAGTGCTTCATAGCCTACGATATTATTTATCCTTTTCGTCAAACAAATGTAGCTTCAGAGTAAGATCTGAACCTAACATTTAGTCGATCCCCACGACAAATCATAAAAGCAAAATGATGGGTGGGGTAAGTTGATTTAGATTTCAGCGTTGGAGCTTAAAAATCTTTGGTTTTTCAACTAACAATCTTTATGCATGATGCTTGTTATTTCTTTTTTAATTTGGTTGTTAAAATGTAATTCAAATATTTAATTGTTACATGAAGAAAGATTTTGTTGGCAATAGTTATTTTAATTTGCATGTTGCAATTATTTTACTTTGCAAAATAACTCTCTAGGGTAAGATGGCATGAAATTTCCAGTTAAATTTTCAACAGCTTTCTAGGTTTCTGGTTTAGAGATTAAATAGAAGGATTCAAAAAATTAATATTTCTTTTGATGATTTCTAATCTGAACAAGTTTTTACCACAACTTTTAAACCTAATGGTTTACAATCACAATTCACACATACAAGGTATCGTACGATTCATTGCAAAAGAATTATTACACAACCACATCATAAGTGATCAAAGCACACAATTCTGTCAAAATACATTCTTGAACTGCAGCACCAAGAACTTAAGGAATCCTAACATGCTTTCACATCCTGAAAATCTCTCTAAATGTATCACAAAATGAACCACCTCACCTAAAAACAATGTCATTCTCTTCTGAGCCACCTTTAATAGTCCTGCATTGCGCAATCACTCCACCTGCAATAATTTCCAACCTTGACTCCAAAAATAACTACATGGATTCAGTGCAAGATGACTAAAATAGTACACCAAGGAAGATAATTTTTTCTCTGGACATCTAAACCCAGCAGTATAATGAACCAATAGATTCTTTTTATTGGCTCATCTCCCTCAACCATTTCTCAGTTTCATTAGAACTCCTATCCCCTCCCACTACCCTCAGCGTTACTATGATTGGTGGTCACCTTCTTAGAGACCATAATCTCATGGCATTTCTTTCAACATATTCATTTGTTAAAGTATTACACTATCCTCAATGTCAGAATTGCTGAGCTTGTACTATCTTTATGTAATATTAAGATTACTACTTGAGAAGAAGACAACGTAGCTACACACCACAGGGGAAGGGCGATCTCTATTTTCCCGGATTTATCTAGGTTGCCTTGTTAGAATATCATTAGCTTTGGTATCTTATGGTAGGGGAAGCACTACAAGATGAAAGGATTAATGGAGGGGCATTCATAGGCACTGATGGTCTTCAATTTCCACACAAGCTAATACTTGTAAGCTTTAATCTTGCCGTGTCATTGATGTCTGTCTAAGCTGGATTTACTTGATGCATGTGTATGTCTTGCACATTCCATATTGTATGAACTATGGTACCTAGAAAATAATCTAGAACGTTTCTTCTTATCTTCATTTCTTTAATTATTGTTATTATTGTTCTTATTCATTTCACATGCATTCAACATAACCTGTTTTTCGTAAAAAAAAATAAATAAATAAAACATGTTTGCTTCTCTCGTGGCGTATTTGTTGATATTTTTCTTGCCAACTAATCTATAGATAAACTACAAATAATAAGGTCTAAAGATGAAATTTCATGGTCAAATTCAACTTTGCTTGGCTGACTATATCATAAATGTTCATATTGTCACTTCTTTCAGCTCTCAACTAGGTGGATGAAAAATGTTTATCTTTAGCAAGGTTCTTTTTTCTTTAAAATTTACAGAGATATGGAAGCCTTTTCTTATAATAATGTTTTCTTTTCTATTATTTTTCTTACTTGGTTTCTTGTGGTTTACCAGGTCATAGGGAATTATTAGTTTCAATTTGTTTCAACGAACCTGGATGGCAATGGTCAGGATGCTTTTTACTAGATCATCTGGGTGATACTTAGGTGAAAATGCAGAATCATGTTTCTGGTGCAGTCAATATGAAACGTGTAATTACCACATTATGTTGAATTAGCATGAGTTAGTGCCTTTTTTATTTTATTTTTTTAGCTTGCATCTTTTAAGACCAGGTGCATTGTTTTGTGAATATACTTGTTTATTTCTTTATTTAAACCTTGTTATGTAAACCTGTTCTTCTAAAACACGTGGGCTTTTGATATGTAACTGTCACTACTTATTTGTAAATTTAACATTCCTGGATTACATGATCCCCACTCTTTCACTTCATTGTGTCAGGGGGTATCACAAAATCTCAATGATGCAGAAAGTGAGTAACATTTAGAGACATGATAGAAAATATGCCACTTGTCAGCTCTGCATTTTTTGTTTTACCCTTTTTTTCTTTTCTCTCATGCGTCATTTTTTAAATGGGTCAGTGGTCATGCCCTGGTTGGCACGACTATTTCTCTTTGTTAAGGACAATTTGTCATAAGATGCCCTCTTGCTGGATTCTATCCTTATTGTGCGAGCATGCTCTGACTCAGGCAGTGAGTTGGACATTAAATACAGTTATTATTGATTGGGGTTAGAATTAATTTGAAGCCCTGATTCCAAAATGCGTGGTTATGGAATTTGAACCCGCAATGCTATTGTCAAGAACTTTTGATTAGTAAAATAAAGCGTGGCCAACATAACACTTCCCAAACATGGCAGGTTGTTAACAGCTTGTTGATTTGATAGATCTCTCTTTCTGTTATATTGTTACTGCCTGTGGTGGGATTCCTGTCAATACTGTTCTAGTTTTTGTTCACAGAATATTCTGTATGCAGGATTGTTTAAGTTTAAGGGTAGGATCTTTCTATGTTATACCTTGCCGTTTCTTATATTCATTTTTGTGAATCATGTGTAGAATGAATACAAACGAGGGATTAGTGGTTGGAACTTCAATCTTGAAGACGTGAAGGATCAAGCTTTCCTTGGTAGAGTAACTAGCTATTTCTTCTGTGCAGCTTTTCCTTTCTAAATCCATTGAGCTATTATAAATTTAGGTTTACTAATCAACATTTATTTTGCTAGATCCAGGATGAGGACATTATATCTGAAAAAGATCTGGGTGGAAGCTCAGTTAGTTCTTCTGGGCTTGACCATGAAAAGGAATTGCAGCATCAGTTGTCTTCAGTGAGCTACTGTTCACAAGTTTCAAATATAGTATGTTAATACTCTTTGCATAGTTTTCTTTAGTGAAACGTGAGTCTTTCTGTGGTTCCTAACGATATGGTACTTCACAGGAAGATAATGATCTGATGCAGAATCAACCATCTTCTCTATCAGCCGACGCAACTCTGACTAATGCGTTGTATGTCTTCTTGTTGTAGATCGTTCAATCATATCTTTTCCTCTCATATTGTCTTGCTGTTATATGTTTTGAGATCTATTTACACATAATTTGCTTATTAGGAGTTCTATGATATGAAAGAGTGGTGCTGGTGCTAAGACAAATTTTAATGTTCATTTAATATATTTGTTTCTTATGACCTTTGCATGGGCAAGGTCGTCAGTCTATATAAACGAAACTACAATTTTGTTTTTATTTTCCAGAACTAAATATGTGAAATTCGATGATGATGCAAGCATTGCTAGTTCAAACCATGAACACCAAGTTTCACAAAATTCTGCCTCCTGTTTTGAGGATAATGTTGAAAATAATTTGTCTGGAAAACCTGGCTCAGATGTCAGTGGAAGAAACGTTGACGGCATGGTTGTGCAAGGTCATCAGAGGAGGGGAAGTTCATCAGGCAATATCATTTTTCCAGATGGTTGTGTTCTCCCAAGCGAAGGAGAGGGGTATGATAATGATATTTATAACTAACTTCTATAAGCTTTTGGATCTATTCTTGAAGTGTTATGTTTTATACAGTGGTGAAGTGTTCCGTTTTAGATAGTGGAGGCTATAGTTTGTTCTGATATCATTTGGGAGCAGCACTATATTAGCAATATACACTAGTCAAATTTGGGAATTTACAATTTTTGTATGTCTTACCTTTATGCATACCTATTAGTTCTGTGGCTAAAGTCACTAGCAAATTCATGTGCTTCTGATGATTTAGTGCACAAGTTTCAACCTTCATCCTGAAAGCTTATTGTTGAGCATCAAATTATGGAGCTTTGTGTATCGCCCATGATAGTGGAATGGCTCAGTTTATTTTCCATAGAATTTGCAGTCCTTAAAATTGTGTAATAATGAATTATAAATGCATACATAAAAACTATGACATAAAAAGGAGAAAGAAAAGAAAGTTCAATGATGTTTTGCACGAAAACCTATAAAGAGGTATAGTCATTTGAAGCTCTAAGGTAATAAAGTGGACTCCGTTTTGTTCTGCCCAATGGATTAATTTTGGAGTCTAGAAGTAGGCCAGTGACCTAGGAGTACTTGCGCTGACAAAATATATAGTGTGTGGGTGAAGACTGTAGTACAGTGTCAGTAGGGTTCATCTCAGCCCATTTTTGCTTACATTTGTGATTGGTTGAGAATCAATATATCGTTATGGAAAAAGTTCAACATTGAGTCTTTCTTCTATTAGTACTATGGATCAAATTCCATTCTTGAGCATTTTATTGCATATCTATACACAATTATATAGCTCTCTGGTATATTAAATACCTATTTCAGACACAATTATATAGTTCTCTGGTATATTAATTCAAATACCTATTTCACACTTCTACTGGGCACATAATTGTTATTGTTATTTTTATTGACTTGGACTCTCTCTTTCTCCAGAGAGAGAGAGAGAGAGAGAGAGAAAGAGAGAGAGGGGAAGTCAGATTGAAGGCGAGGACATGACAACGCCGCCGGAGGAGCTGATGAGTCTCTACGACTCCATCTTTGACAAGTTCGACTGCGACAAGAGCTGAGCCGTGGACATCGATGAGTTCAGATTGAGATCGAAGGCAAGAGGCCGATCGCGAGTAGAGATCAAAGGCAGATCGAAGGCAGATCGAGCAGATCGAAGGCAGATCGCACCAGGTTTCTCTCTCTCTCTCTCTCTCTCCCCGTGTCCATGGTGTGTCCGACTGGAAGATTTCAAAAAAAAAAAAGGAGACACGTTAGAGAAAGTGTCGGACACGTGTCTACCGCGTGTCTGACACGTGTCCATGTCCGACACGTGTCCGACACTCGTACGCAGAGCCTTGGAACGTGTCGGTGCTTCATAGGTTCTGCCCAATGGATTAATTTTGGAGTCTAGAAGTAGGCCAGTGACCTAGGAGTACTTGCGCTGACAAAATATGTAGTGTGTGGGTGAAGACTGTAGTACAGTAGGGTTCATCTCAACCCATTTTTGCTTACATTTGTGATTGGTTGAGAATCACTATATCGTTATGGAAAAAGTTCAACATTGAGTCTTTCTTCTATTAGTACTATGGATCAAATTCCATTCTTGAGCATTTTATTGCATATCTATACACAATTATATAGCTCTCTGGTATATTAAATACCTATTTCAGACACAATTATATAGTTCTTTGGTATATTAATTCAAATACCTATTTCACACTTCTACTGGGCACATAATTTGTAATTGCTATTGTTATTGACTTGGACTCTCTCTTTCTCTATCTCTCTTCATTTTTGCATTTTTAAAAACTATAATCAATAAATTTCACTTCTTATCATGTGTCATTATCATTGTGATGCAATCCATTGTGAGTTTCTAGTGAAATTTCTGCAATTTTCAGTGATAAATCGCAAAATCAGCTACAAAACATGTCGAGTTGCAATGGAGCTCCTGTTCCACAGACATTGGACGATGCACCTCCTGAAATTTTGTCTAGAGCTTCTAGAACTTCAGGCAAGTAAACATTATTTTTCTCAATTCTTAGTTCCTAGAGAACTTACTTTCATGTGCAAAACTACGTTGACTTCATTTGGTTAATTATATTGGCTTCTATATGGTGTCAAACACATTTTTTGCATTTTCATCTAATTCAGATTTTATTGTGGACAGTAAATAGTGAAGAGCTTGATGACAAGGTAAAGCCACTTGTTCAACAAAAGGGACGTTTCAAAGTTACCTCTGAGAATGTCGACTTAGAAAAGGTATATTTTGCCTTTTGTACCCCATGGCCCTGTATACTACTGTTCAGAAGGATAACATTCACCATTTCTTGTCAAGTGGGACTGAATCCTTTGATGCAAAAGAGTCACAGCATGCAGGTTTGTACTTTTCAAGTCAACTCAGTCACTAAGAGTATTAGTTAAAATAAACTGTAAATTACATTGACACCCCTGCCATGATAGAAAATGTCACTTGGCATCCCCTATTATGTGAAATATCATTGTCCTCCCTTGTCTGAGTTATTAGACCCGATGTTTTGTTGATAAGCAGGTAGATCATCTATATAGCAATTAGTAATTAGTCTATATAGCAATTGTTGATAAGTAGGCATATGCCTCGGGAAGGGTAGCCAAGGTAATAAGGCTCTCATAGCTTTGTTCACCCTACTTACTCAAATGTAAGTAAAAAAAGCTTTGGATTTCTATGATCACCCAGTTCCATAAAGAAAAGAACATGATAAAAAGAGCACTTCACACATCAAATGTCATACAGTTGCTCAATAATTGTTCTAGTTTCATTAATAAATGCATTCTAATGTAGAAGCAACAAGCTGTTGATTCATGTGGAATGACTTATCACCGTGATAAAATCAAAATTTATTTGCTTGGTAATTATATTTGATTTCATTAATTGTTTCCCAACAAGCACTCTGGGGCTTTTCAAGGTATGTTGTAGTGAAGTTTGTTGAGGTTTTATTATCTTTGTTCGGTAGTGCTGTTTCATAGTGACATAATTTTTCTTTGTTCCCAGAAACATTTGAAGTGGCTAAAACAATATCGATGGGGCCATCATTGAAAAGTGGATCAAAAGTTGGGAAAAGTGGATCAAAAGTTGGGAAAAGTGGATCAAAAGTTCACGAACCAGACGAGCACCCTCCCCAACATATTTCGTAACAAGTTCACGAAGCTAAATTG